CCAGTACCCCAGTGAAATCTCTAGTGAAATCTCATCTGTTGTGGCCCAGCAGGAGCCGTTGGAGCTGCCACCAAACTCCAACAGCGAGGGGCCCTATGAGTCGGCTCTGGAGGATGTGGAGGACCCTGGACAGGGTTCCGACTCTGAGCTGGGCACAGAGAGGCTGGACCAGTGGGGCCTTGGACCAGAGGGGCCTTGGACCAGTGGGGAGGAGACAAGGGAGAGTGATCCGTACGCTAGTAGTGAGTTGTTCCTGAATGCACGCCATCGAAGAGCTAATAGGCGTCAGGAACAATTACGCAATTACAGGAGGTGATTGCACTCAGCTGGTGGTCATTAGTCTCCTCTCCAGACTATAAAAGGAATGCTTGTGCAAACGCCCCTTTTGCAGAAGTCAACGCATTAACTAATGTTGGAGGACAGTATTGTGAGCTTGGCAGGCTGGATTGCCGCCAAGGCTTGTCTGTGCTGGTTTGCTGCCAAGGACCTGTCTGTCTATTAGTAAATTCTGTAAGGTATCTTTGGCTTGGAGTGCTTTTGTGTGGAACGAGGGGGGTCAGAACAGTGGAGGGTGGAAGGATTTATATTCCTTGCAGGCAGCTGGTCATTCGCTTTCTCCCTGAGAGTCGCCGGAGCCCCTTGGAGGTTTATCTGTGCTCTCAGGGTGACCTGAACAGTGCAAATGGGTGTGGAATCTTCTCAATGACTCTCAGAAAGAGTACTAACGACCAGAGGACTGCAAATGTTTTCCATTCTCCACTATTCAGTCAGAACTGAAGAAGCTTCTTGGATGAGAAGCGAAACGCCTTCAAGAGAAAATAAAAGTCCGGTTGAGTTTTGAAAAAGCACCTTTGGGACAACCAGACCTGGGTGACTGAAAACCTCCATAAGCAATTCTCCTGGAAATATATTATATTGTTGTGCAGTCTTACACTACACCTCTGGATCTCTCACCATGGATGAACTCAGCCAAAATTTGTTCAGGACACCGTGCTAAGAGGAGACTGTGAAGTTGGGAGGAACCGGACTTCCGGTCAGCTCCAGAGCTGAAGGTGGGGCTTCCGGTTACGACCTTTGAGTGTTTAAGGTTGCCGACCTCTGTCCTACATGATGGTCCATTCTAAAACAGAAGGCTGGAATGCCTGTCCTTCCTCAGTTGTGCCTGGGAGGCTTTTAATGTGTTATCTGGGCATCCCTGGCTGCAGCCGGCTGCTCTACGGCGGGACTTAATGGACCACAGCTGACAAAGTCAACATCCCTGGGGGTTTCGCCCAGGAGAATGTGCCCCCGTCTGAAGCGCCCCTGTCAACCCGGCACACGATTTCCACCCGTGGCATTGATGCCACTTGACAGAGAGTCAAGGGCCTTGCCACGTACGCTCAACTTCTGTGTCTTTCAGACAGCACTTCTAGTCACTCAACCAGCACGCCTCTTCTTCTTTGCCAGGAGCAGAAACCGTGGCCTTCCTCCCTCTTCAACTTATCTCTTATAGAGAGAAGGAGAGAAACAACCTAGAAGGAAGGAGAATTTGCCTGATGACGACAACAATTAGCAATAGCAATAGCAGTTAGACTTATATACCTCTTCATAGGGCTTTCAGTCCTCTCTAAGTGGTTTACAGAGTCAGCATATCGCCCCCAACAACAATCCGGCTCCTCATTTCACCCACCTCGGAAGGATGGAAGGCTGAGTCAACCCTGAGCTGGTGAGATCCTTGCTAGTCATAGAAATAACTCATGATAATATTTATATCCATGTAACAAGAAGTAGCCTTGTCTATTAATATCCGTTNGATTGCTGCTGTGCTGGATTGCTGCCACGGCTTGTCTGTGCCGGTTTGCTGCCAAGGACCTGTCTGTCTGTTAATTAAATGCCGTAAAGTATCTTTGGCTTGGAGTGCTTTGGTGTGGAATGAGGGGGGTCAGAACAGTATGGGGACAAAACCTGGCTGCAGTATTGCAGGGGTGGTCTTACCAGAGTATTATAAAGTGGTACTAATACTTCACGTGATCTTGATTCTATGGCTCTGTTTATACAACCCAGGATTGTGTTAGCTTTTTTGGCTGCTGCTGCTGCACACGGCTGACTCATATTCAAGCGATCATCCACTAAGACTCCAAGGTCCCTCTCCCAGTTGAGGTTTTTGAGCCAGGTCTCACATGAAATCTAATCCATTTCAACTGGTAACCAGTTTCCCCAGCACAGGAGGTTTCGCCACCACCCAAAATAATTCATAAAAAAGCACCATGACTTGCCAAAGAGGCAAAAACCCCAACGCTGACTTTTCCCTAATTTGGCCCTCCAAAATTTTTAATTCCATGCCTAGATATAACAGTTTGGCTTATGCTGGCTGGGGAATTCTGGGAGTCGAAGTCCACACATCTTTGAATTCCCCAAGGTAAGAGAAACACTGCCGTAGTTGAACGCGACATAAGTGCGAGGTCAGCCAGGGGTTGAGTTCTTAACTTACCCGGATACGCTTGGCTCGCCGCATGTCATCTGCTGTCATCAGGCTTGGGGTAGCCACCACAGTCTGCTCGTGCGGTTGAAGCTGCAGGGATTGGCTTTCAGGCAGCTGATCCAAAGAGGACGATGCCTCGGGGGCCACTGGGGTCTCCTCCGGTTGGTCGAGCCCGTTTAGGGTGGCTGGCCCGGCTTCATCAAACTGCCCCTTACTGGCAAAGGGCAGCAAGTCCTGAAATTATAAACCAAGGATATTGTAGGAGATGACCAGACTGAGTCTGAGGGAGGGAGAGGTCAAACGCGTCATCAGCCTCAAGTCCCTTTGTGCCCGCAAGAGATCTATGTCCCACCCTCCTCAAATTCCTTTGACTCTTCTCTACTGCCAATCTGCTTGGACCTTTAGTGGTTCAGATGCTTGCAGAGAAGTTAAGCTTGCAATAAATCTTTATGCTCATTTGGATTGCTGATGACTTGGGGAAGGGAGAAAACTTTCTCTTTCAATTAGGTGGAAACCATGGGAACTTTCAGAGTTGGTTTTCACCAGTTGTGCCAATATGTTGTATCCAATAAAGCTGTCCTTTGAGGAATCTACCTGCCTCAGAATTCTGCTTTCTGTGGGTGCATTACTTGGAACACTCAAATTAGTTTTGTTTTTGTTTTTTAATGCCACCATAATGTAGGTGATGCAAATGGGGCTGAGCAGCTGTTCCAGCTGTTGAAGACACTTGGCTCTTTTACCAGAAATGGCATGACATGAAATTTCAAGGGACCCAAACAAGCAAACTCAGTTCCTTCTTTCCGCAAAACTCAATTCACCCACTCCCTGCAAGTATACCTGGCTCTCTTCTGCACACTTCCCCCCGTTTTCGGTGGTTACTTCCAAGCGCATGAATTTTGGAGGACGGCCAGGTCGCCTTCCTGGACCAAACCTTCGCTTGCCTCGTCCACGACCTCTGCCTCTTGCTCTACAGAACATACAGATTTCTGGGTTAGAGGACAGTGACGCCCCTTGTCATTCTCTGGGAGCATCAACTTAAGAAAAGGAGCAAGGACTGCAGCTCTCCATAGTTAAGACTCCCACTTACCATCAGCCCTAGTCAGCAAGTTTAGCAATGATAAACACGGTAGTCCAGAGGTGCCCAACTCCGGGGCCCCAGCCCACTCCTGGGCTATGAGTTGTTCTGAACCGGACCGCCCAAAGAGGTGGGAGTATGTGGACGCCTGCGGTCCATTCATGTGCGCGATCTTACCTGCTACTTGCGCAAACGGAGCCATTCGTTGAAATGGAGCCGCGCACGTGTACATGCTCCCATGGAACCATCCCCACTCCCAACTTCACCCAACCGGTCAGCAAAACCAGAAAGGTTGGGGAACTCTGTCGTAGTCTAACCACATCTAGAGAACTGAAGGCTCCCTGTCTTTAGCCTACAGTTTTTTATAGCCTAAGCCAGTGATGGCTAACTTCTTTCTCCTCGCATGCCAAAATCGGCATGCATGCGCGTGCCCACACCCATAATGCAATGCGCCCCACCACTTCCTGTTTCTCTTGGACAGAAATTTCCATGGAACAGTTCAACTGGGTGAATGAGAGAACCCTGGAAATACCTGCTGAAGAAGTCCAGCTTTTCATCGTGGGAGTTGAGATGTTGCTGGAGCTGTTCGGAGCTCATGAAGCGTCGATTGCACTCATAACATGGCCAGTTTTTCTCTTGTTCTCGGAGAACTGTGTTTTCAAGATAAACCAATCAATAGTAAATATTCAGAAATACACACACACACAGGCTTTTCAGATTTTGTCAGTTAATCACCCACAATTTCAGTTTACAGGTTATATTTAATCTTCTAATTAGCTGATAACCCGGTGTTGCCCAGATATTTATTTATCCTAATCCTGTATTAAACAGAAATAGCCCTGATTTCAGCAACAATTAAATTAGTTACAAACGTTTTCCCTGTGCCCCCAGAAGCGTCAAGAAAAGTGATAATTTCCTTAATTTCTAATGTTGGATAAATAATAATATATAAATAAATTAGCACTTCTTGTGCAAAAAGCCAAGCACAATAAAAGGCATCTACTATCCAAGGAACAAATATCTTGCCGCTCTTAAAATTTTATTTAAAATGTAAGATGTCGATACCTTTCCTCTCCTCCTCCGATACATCATGGATTTTCTGATTGACAAATTCTGCATAGGAGGCAGCGTACCATACCTAAAACAGATATCAAACGGAAAGGAAATTCATAGCAGGATTTTTTTTTTAAAAAAAAAAAGCTAAATGCCCATCCTCCGCGAATGGCAGACATGAAAGGGAGCCCAGGATCACAGGATCAATTTTGGTTCAAACCATGATTCGGCTCCAGGATTTCTCAGCTCGGTTCTTCCCTTCTGTTCACTGAGCGAAACTGATCCAACAACTTCTAGCAGAGTGTTTCTCAACCTTGGCGACTTTAAGTCCTGTGGACTTCAACTCCCAGATTCTGGGAGTTGAAGTCCATAGGACTTAAAGTTGCCAAGGTTGAGAAACACTGTTCTAGCATGTTATTATTTTATTCAGGCCCATTTGTACTTTGATGAAGGGGGGAGAAAGGGAAATAAATTCAAATATTGCATCTTCGTAAGCATGTGTGAACTTCTACCCACGTATCAAAAGGCCTTTTATGCAGAGGTGAGCTGCTACGGGTTTGTCCAGGTCCGGGAGAAGCCATAGCTAATGTTATGGTTGGTTCAGAGAACCTCCAAATCCCACCCCTGGCTGGCCCCACCCACACCTCCCATGAGTCTCCATCCGTTTTGGATGCCAGGTAAGTGCAGGGCCAGCGCGGAGGCTCAGGGAGGGGGGGAAATGGGCCTCCCAGAAATTCCGGAAGGCCAGAAATGGGCCCGGCCTCCGGAGGGCCTCCGGAGCCGAGGGAGGCAGTTTTCGCCCTCCCGGAGGCTCGAGGAAAGCCTCTGAAGCTTGGGGAGGGCAAAAACGGCCACCCACCCCACGGTGCAAGAAGCCAACTAGGCCACGCCCACCATGGCCACGCCCACCCAGCAACCGGGCAGAGAACCCGTTGCTGAATTTTCTGAAGCCCACCCCTGCGTTTATGCAAGTGAATCCGTAAGATTATGATTCATAGATGGGTTTTTTAAAATCGTTATTTCCCATTCTGGCTGACTTGAGAAACTGGTATATAAACGGCTTGACTGAAAGTATACAGATCCTCTTTTACCGAAGGCCGCAACAACTCCCAGGCACACTTTTTTTTTTAAAGTATCACACGTATCATGGGAAACGGGAGAACATGCTGTTTTGCTCAGGGTTGCTTTGACAGGGACTGAGTCTGGATCACAGATCCTGCTTTTTCACCTTGGAATTTGTATTCTGTCTGCTCTTTGAAATAGGGCAGGAGAGGCATCTCTCTCTCTCTCTCTCTCTCTCTCTCTCTCTCTCTCTCTCTCTCTCTCCCCTCTCTCCCTCTTCCTCTCTCCCTC